AGTTTTTTTAACCAATGATAAATATCTGGTAAGATTTTTTATAATTTCTAATCTAATTGGTAATAGAATCAAATAAAAATGAGGCTTACAACAGACTCTGAGATATAAGAAGAATGGTTTAGAATAATGCTGAGATTATCATCTCTCTTAATTCTAGTGCACCTGAAGAACTGAGGGCACTGGTAGAAGTCTGTTCTACTATTTGTTTAGAATATTTCTGGCAGTACTGAATCAGCTGACTACTTTCTAATGCTAAAATCCCCTTGGAAAAAAAAATGGCCAATATATGTGATAAGTGATATAAAGTTCAAAGATGTCCAGGCCTTCCCAGGAAGAGAAAACTATCTTTGTCATATTATGTCATTCAGTTATTCATCATATATGATAATTTATTCATGTATTAATTTATGCATATGTATTTAATAATACTATTAGTGAACATATGAATTTTTTTCTTTTTTTATCCAATGTGGTTAGGTAAATACAATTTCAAATACTTCAATCTAATGTAATTGAGCTTCCAACTTTCTAAACCTGTTGGAGCCTTCCTGAATGAAGATGACATAGAATAGAACCATCTCTCATAGAGCCAGCATACAGAATTGCCAAGATTGGATCTGTGAAAAGTTGGCTCTTGAAACCTTAAACCACTTTAAGAAGCTAATGCTTAGTGAGTCTTAAAGTAAATACAACTTTATACAGATATATTTAAGGGACTTAAAAATACTTAAAAATAAAAGTATTCAGAAACATGATAAATTATTTTAGATATAAGTAGGAATATTGTAAAAGAAACAAAACTACTTAATGTGATTTGTACTAATTTGAATTTTCCTATTATAGTGAAAAAAGTTAATGGATTCATTATTTTCAAGAAATGTATTCAATAGATCAATAACTCAGCATCAGCAGTGCTTGTTTAGAGGTATTGTAATTGGTCATACAATGTGCTACAGGTTGGGAACAATAGAGAAATATTAAATAATTATTTAAGAATACATCTTACCTATCTGATTTCTTCCTGAAGAGTAAAATGCATTGACTACAGCTGCTCCGCTTATCCACCTGCAGAAAGCATAAGAACTCATTACAAATGATACTGTATTATCTGATTAAATCCACTCATACAATTAAAGCATTATTACTATTCCTAGATTAATCTTACCTATCTGTTTGAAACATGATCAACAAATAAAAACTGGCTCATTAGGTGAGAGCTCTTTTGAAAGTATTTCTATTTCTTGAAAAACATCAGCATATATTCAAGTCTGTAATCTTTTATTTGCATGAATTTTTATGGAGGCATCTGATGTTGCAAAACCTATTAAAATGTATCACCTCAGAAACTGTAATGGGTTAAGATTGCATTAAAATTTATTTAGCTTTATGTTCCTGATACTGGGTAACTATGACGACGATTCTGGAGCAGTTGACAATACTGAAGTGTGGATCATTAAAACTTCAGATTCAAGTATATTAAAAATAATTAATTCCTGGTTTACAAAGAACCTTTTTGGGAACTAAGATACCTCAAGTAGTTGTCTCAGAGAAATATGTCTCTGATTATTGCCACTTAAACGTATTTTCAAAAAACACAACATTCCATCTAATTGAGCAAAGAAATATTTTTGTATGCCTTTAAAACGAAACCCAGGTCATCCTTAAGTAGAGCTGTCTGTCTATCTGTCTGTCTATACCATGTCTTAGGCTCTGTATAAAATCTAGAGATGCTATAAAATACAGTTCCTGACTTCAGGAAACAATAGTTCAGTTGAGGAGATGAGAAAAACGCATAAATAACTATAGGATGAATGAGAAAATGGAAAAAAATGGCTCGTGCATGATAATATGAGGGATGAGGCTAGGAATCAAAGTTCCCATGGCTTTCTGCTCAGATGTTATGAAGACTGCATATTAATAATCATGTGTTAAAACGTTTTGTGCAACAGAATTAAAGTTCTCATCTTAAAAGACTATTACAAATATCATTATTCACTCATTGGAAAAATGGACACTGCTTAACTTCAGATAACCTCTTAAATTTCAGCTCATATGCATGCACTTAAGATAATCATATATCATTCTTTAATGGCTTCACTGCAGTTGTTCTACTTTCATGGCAACTGTTAGTAAGACTGTTATTATCCTACTCACAGAAGAAATGTACAGTAATTAGTACAATGAGGTTATATCAGAACTGTTTCCAGACCCTGCTTTGCAGGTGAGCTGTACAAAGTCAGCAGCCCAAATCGGCACTTTAGTTGCAATGTCAGTAACTATTGTGAGATGTCAGAGGTAAATTTTATTTTGATCTCTTAAAAATAACTAGCAAAGGGCAATAAATAACAACTGACTGATAAATTCTAAGAAGGGATTTTCTTTCCGACAACTTAATAAGACTTTTTATATGAAGGATGTGGGACTTTAAAAAACAATCTAGTTAACATTTCTGTGAAGTTTTCTTCAGGAAGAAAATAAGGTCGGAGATAAGAAGAATGATTGATCAATGTGTTTCTTCCTTAGTTTGTGACTGCTGTTGTTTTAAATTGAGAAAGCATTTTTAAACAGGATGGGAGGACTGATATATCAGTCCTCCTTAATTTCCTCACAGCTGAGTCATCAGTATTTTAATATTTCTTGCAGGTTGATGATTACAACAGTATAATTTTATTTATTTTAATTAAACTCTATTTGCTTCCCACATAATTTGTGGTGACTCACAAGAAAAACATGTATTTGTAAACCCAGGATATTAGACTAGAACTGAGAGATCAGAAACTATGTAGAATAAGTAGATTTCATTTATGTGACTAAGAAATATTATAAAAGAAAATATTTATATAAACAAAAATCATGATTAGAAAATATATTATGACTATGTTTATATTTATATAAACAAAAATCGTGATTAGAAAATATATTATGACTATGTTTATATATATTCAAACAGTTACTATAATTCAGGTTCAGATATGGTACCAAGTTGCCTGGTAAGAAGGTCAAAATGGAAAATGTGCTGTTAGTACTCCTAGGGGGAAACATTGTTCCTCGCATAATTTGAAAAAGGTAATTCTGATGTGTCCTCGACATTTCATAGCAAACATGGCAGCAAATTTTACCTGTAAATAGCTTATAGTTTTTAATTGCTATAAAAGTTAATTTAAAAGGTACCTAGATCTCAGTGGTTTTAGGGTTCAGTTTCTCAGTTGTGAACTTCTGGGTTAGTGACAGTAAATTCTACATGGGCTTTTACAGGTCCTTACAAATAATAGTTGCAGATTGTTTGAGTCTGGACTAGTCAAAAATCTGAATATTGAAATAGAAAAGCCATTCCAAATTGTTTAAATTGTTATTACAGAGGGGAGGAACTAGATATATGAAACTAATGTTTCAGGTAACAGTAGATCAGAAAAATAGGACACAAATGAATGAGGTTTATATATTATCCATCTTGTGTCTATTGCTTTTGTAAAAACAAATGTCATACCTTTTGTTTTAGTGCTTTTCTGCTCTTCTGTTACATTACTTTGAGGGCTTTAAGACTGCCTTTTGATTTATGTTTGTAACTTTCCAGCAGGGAGAGTTTTGCATATTAAAATGTCCACTGTGAATTATACCTTCAAGAAAATAGGTAACTGTTTATGACCACCAAACGTTCAAATAAAATTAGAATTATGGCAGTTGGGTTTACACAGCATGAATGTATAGGTATTTGCCTTTTCTTCTTTGAGAAGAGAAAGTGAAATGGTGGTGATTCTTGTCCTAAAATAATAGATAGTGTAAGTTACCTGAAGATATCTTTGAAGTGTAGAGGCCAAACACTAACAGCCTCCACAGAGCAGTATCGGACTTGAGAGACGAAGCACTGTGTTCTTCCATTCCTCATTCTTTCTCCAGTGGTCTGTATGTATATGAATGTGGGGTGCATGTGGTATGAAGTGAAGAGTGGGGAAGCAGGAGAAAGAAACTGTATTTTTAATTTCTGAGATGTAATTTTGTCAGGTAAGCTTATTCTTGTTTGGGGGCATTCGGCAGTAAAGCTAAGAGGGGCCACTAGAAGCAGCATGGCTCCTCAAAGCTGAGCTAACAATGTGGGTGGGGAATAGTACTGACATACACTTGATAGAGGAGCCAGGTGTTTCTTTTCTAACTCTTATTACCCTGAGGAAGCTTAGTGCTGATGAATTTCACACACACACAGTAGTGTGCAGAAATCATTTTTATAGCTGGGAAGAAAAGCAGAAGATAACAGACTGATCCTATAGCCTTTTGGATATAATAAACCCACTAGATTGCAAAATCACCTAGAATAAATTTTTTTTCAGCTACTCTTGTGTAACTTAAAAATTTAAAACAACAAAATTGTTAATGTGCCTTTACTGCAAGTGTTCAATTTCTCAGCATTTAGTAGTCTCAAAGCAACTCATTTGAAATCAGCAGTACAATATGATAGTTTTTCTCTGTCTTCCTCCAGTCCCCTGGGTGGAAAGAATTCTTATCTTAGAATCACAACATGACTGCAATCCTTTACATTTATCAGTATTTTCTCATCAAGACTTCAAAGTTTTCCATATACTTTCATTCATCTTTCAAACCATCCATATAATATGTTTGCAGGTACAGAAACTGAGGCACAATATGGTTATTAAACTCTTTCCTAATATACATACAAACTAAGTTAGATAATTGAGAAAATAATATTTAAACTAAGAAAAATAGGAACCTGCTCACCTTCTAATCAAATCTACTTCTAAGCTGTGGCTCTGCATGATACACAAAATTTCATTACAGGGATTAATGCCATTTTCTTGCCATCCTCTTTAAAAATGATCATTTCTTGCTACTATGTCACAGTGGGTTACTATTTAGCAAGCATCTAAGTTATGTGCCAGGTGTATGATGCAACATACAACACAACCATGCAAGACAAAAGTAAAGTGATTATCACCAGATTATAAAGAAAAAATCTAGGTTCAGAGGTTAGGAGGCAAAGCAGAAATTATGACCCAGGTCTACTCCCCTCATTCCCTGACTCCACAGCACAGGCTCTTCCCAGTGATCTGTAAGTGTAACTTTTTACACAAAGGCAAAAGCAGTGGGATCAAAGAACTTCTTTTGTTGTGTAATGGTTGTTAACATAACTGAAGTACTCCCAGTGACTTAACCTGATTCTGTCTGAGGCTAAGACTCTCATTCTGACACTAACCTGAGAGAAGCCACTTCTCTTTCAACAAAAGGTAATGGAAAATTACTATTTCTTTCTTAGATGTTACCAGTTGTTCGCGTATAGTTCTGTTTGGCAATAAGGCATAATATTTTTAGTCTTCACTAGCCTTGTATATGTGTACATGCACATATGTGTGCACACACTCTTGGTACGCTAAATTCAGAGAAATTCCCAATTTCAGAGACACATGAGTGGGTGGATTGTTTCTGTCAGAATTATCTTTGGTGACCTTTCTCCTGATTTAAAGTAATTTCGAGAACTTCCAGGAACTGAAACCGATTCCATACTATATAACACTCAGTACTTATGTAACTTGACATAAGACTATTGTCTACCTAGCTCATGAGAAGGTAACTCCATGAAGGCAGAAATATTCCATGTTTTGTTCTTAATTGAATCCCTAGCGCTAAGACCAGTGGTGGGAGCACTCAGCTCTTTGGGTCTTGGTATATCACTGGGTCCTCCAAGCTCCAGGAGGGCTGACCCATTTTATCCGGTGACTCTAAGAAGGCACAGCGCACCGTTGCAATGCACATTGTAGCAGACGCCACTGAATGTTGTCCTTTCAAGAGATTATACTGAAATAAATGTATCAGAATTCTTGTGGAAAGTTCGTTCAGCTTAAATGGAAGTTTAAGACCTTTTAATTGTGTTGTTTGAAGATATAATTTTTGTTTTGTTTTTAAAAAGAACTACCTGAAACTTCAACCTTTAAATTATTCAGCTTCCTTTTCTAATTCCCCTTCCCCCTCTGAAAAACAAAACAAAAGTAAACAGAATCCCTCATCAAATGCTAACTAAAAAGCAGAAATCTTTTTGCCAATAAAACATATTTTGCTTGCAATCCCAAAACACATTGAAAATCTGCAGACTTTTTTGGCTTAATGGAAGCATAAATGGCAAAAATCTTAAATTTTCATCTGTTACAACATGTGCAGAACACGAGGATGCCATGGCAGACACTGCCTTGGGAAATTAAAGTGATTTGTTTAAGTTTAGTCTATCCCTTCTTTCTGGCTAATATTTGCTGAGTCAAATAATCTTTTTTACAAATCATCTCCATCTACATTTATGGAGATTCATTTGTCTCAAGTGTCCGGCCTCTGCCTGTGCACCCTGGATAGACCCAACTTCACACTGCTGGGCCATCATATTCACCCATATAGTTCTGCATAATTATTTTTCCTTTGATACCAAAGTTGAACAATAAAGAACTTAACTAGAAAGAAGACTGGTTCTAGAAACATCAGTAAAGTGGAAAATCAGAAAGGATCTTTTAGAAAGAAGCGAGGTACTTCTTTGCCACTCAAGAAGGTTTTTTTCTCTTGGGTCATTTGATGTGGAGAAGCTTAAGAGGAAAACTTCCTGGCTCCTATCAAAACTTCACAGTCAGGTCCACAGAACTTTAGTGCCAGAAAGAACCTTAAACGTATTCTACAGTCTAGCACAGCCTACTCGTTTTATAAAGAAAGAAACCACAAGGCTTTTAAAAGGACACAGGTAGTGAATGGCAGAACTGGGACACTAAAAGAGTATTGGGCACTCATCTCAGTGGCAAAACTAGTGTCACTTCCTAGGGTGCCAACTGCTCTGCCATTTTTGGGAGTGCTGGCCTTTCAGGAAATTTCTATATGCACCATGGAATCACAGATGTTGAGCTGCCAGCCTTAGGGGTTCCACTTATTTCAGGGGTGTGCCACCATCCAATTGGATGAGATTAGAAAAAAAAACACCATGTTTGAAGCAACCAAGGGGAAGACAGAAATGAGCTCATTTTTGTTTTGTCTTTAGTGAATCCTCTGTTCAACTCAATATTAATTTAAATGCTGACATTTTGATTCCAGAGGATATTTTATTAATAATAAAGGTTTAATTGTGGTTTGAAAAATTATTGTTCTAGCACTTTGTTTCCTGGTAATAGCACCAGCCAAACCCTGCCTTTCATCATATTTGACTTTTAATAACCTACCTCTTAAGATCATAGCCTCGAGTAAAGGGCAACATCTTGTTCACCTCTTTATCCTCTGTTGTGTTCAGCACCGTGCTCTACACAGAGTAGTTGCTCAATAAATGTTTATTGACCTGGCTCCTGTCAATGTTAGTGTGCTTTCATTTTGATGCAGAACAGCCAGAGAGACGCAGCAATGAAATCTCTTTTTGTACTTTATAAAAAGTTAACTCCAGGGCTCAACAGTTATGATTCACAAACACTAGCAACAATTATATCACAGAAGGTTCTGTCCTGAGAAACTGACAAAATAACATCGTCTAAAAACAACATTTTGTTTTGTTTTGTTCTTGTACATCTTTTTCTTTAGAGATTTATGTTTGTTCTATGAACTTTAAATGAAGATTCATGTTACTAAAAGTAAATATTTTAGAAATATTACTAAGTAACCAATGGATATTATATTCCTGACCAAGCACTATTTCTATGTTATAATGATATGTTTAAAATTCTTTACAAACTGGCGCCAAATCCTGAAATGACATAATGTTTGAGATGGTTTTGGAAACACATACTAAGCATCAGAAACCACACGAACTAATAGCTTTTGAAATTCAAACCCCTGTCCTTTGTAACTGCCAGCCGCTCCTAAGAGCAGAGGGAGGTCCTTTTAGCCAAATGATTAACTTGGGTGTCTCACGTGCAGTGTCTCACGTGCAGACTTCCTGACTTTTTCAATTTCTTGGATTTGTTAAAGATGATGTGCATCTTCACCAGTCATGATGGTGAAATGCTTGATGTGACCATTCTTATTTTAGCAGCTGAGTTAGTTTTATCATCATTATCACGAATTGGCAATTTTATCATTTATTCGCCCCATAAACATTTATGAAGAGCTACATTATGTTCATTAGTGTTTAAGCTCGGGTGATACATATATCTGGTTTCTGCTTTCAACAGGGGCTAGTCCAACTAAATGTAGTAAAATGTACTGGAACTTTGACCAAAATGTACAAAGTGTAGTGCAGCCCAAGGAGAAGAGAAATATGCAGTGGGGTGCTATGAGGAAGGAGGTAATACTTAACATTTAATCGAACCATGTGTAAGTTTCTGTTACGTGAACCAGGGCATAAAGGGTGGTCCAGGGAAACAGAGCAAGACTCGGGAAAGACAGAGAAAAGATATGGAAATAATATATATGGCTGGCACTTCGGGAAATGGTGAGGTGTAGGATGAATGTGAAGGAACTATGGAGAGCTAGTGTGGGATATGGTTCTCTTTTCAAAGATGTCACACATCATAAGACAGGCAACAGGGACACACTGAAGTGTTTTCTTCAGGAAATAACATAAATAACATGCCAATTTGTGACTTCAAAAAGAATCTCTAAGGTAGCAGTGTGGAGGATAAACTGAAGGTATACAAGATGATTCGTAATAAAAATTAGGATAATAGCTTAGATGAGTCGATGAACAATGAGAAATGTCTGAATTACAGAAGTGACGATGGGAATGGTGAGCTGGAGATCCCCTCTCCCCACTCCTACATCATATTTAATTAACAGCTGGTGGATGCAGACTTTTTTTTTTTTTGATGGAGATTTGAATTAACTATCACTGTATATGTCAGGAATAACAGAACGATATCAGTCTAGGATGATTAAAATGAGTCCCTGGTTTCTCTCTTGGTAGCAGTAAAATGGAGGCTATTAGAAAATTGGCAGATATACATTTTTGCCTAAATGACAAATGCTGTGTTTGTAGATTCAGTAAGACATCTACATGGAGATGTTTCATAAGCATCTAGACATTTGGATTTGAACCTCAGCAAATGGATCTGAGTCAAATACAAATATTCAGCTAACATGATGATGATAGAAGATATGAAGAAGTATATGAGTTTGCCCAGTGAGAGCATGTGAACTGGGGAAAAAAGTGTCTAGAGGTTTACTGTTCGGTGAATTGAATTTATATTAGTTGCTGCCTTGAAAATTTGATGCATCATCATTTCTCTAAAGTACCCTACAATATAACCCTACAAAAGTCTAAAGTGGGAACCCTCAATTTTGGGTATGCACACATATTTCTCTTTTGCGACTTCGGGAGTGAGGATCTTGAGCATCTGAAAATGTAATTCTCTGAGCTGTAATACAGGCTATGTGAAAGAGTAGAAGCAATAGGAATGATCTCGCTAAACATATATAGCAAGGACTTGAACTTGATGTCCCATAAAAAATAAAAGAAAAAAGAGTAATGACTTTATTCCTATTTAAGCAGGTTCAAAATAAGTCAGTAATTTTTCCTGCAAGAAACCTTAATAAAATAAGAGGAGATTTGACCATGTTGTATCCTAGAGGGCTCAGTCTTAATGATTTGATGCAATTACTGTCAGAGGGTTTCGGATTATTTTGGAAGATAAAAATAAATTTTAAACCTAAACTGCCAAGTGAAAGGCATCATCTTGTGAAAATTCCATAAAATTGGATATGAATAGGAATGATGTCATATAAAAAGGAACTAACACTAACTCAGGGGTTCTCACTTGGTGGGTGGTACTTAAAAAGAATACCAGTAACTGGGTTCCAGCTACAGAGCAATTACATCACATTCTAGGGTGCTTGAGTTGGGGAACCAGTATTTTTTTAAATGTTCCCCAGATGATTATAATGTGCAGCTAGAGTTTTGAACCTTTGTATCTGGTAAACAGGCAGAATATAAGAAAGGAAGAAAAACTGGCTCTGTATGGCAAAGAAGACCTTAGAATTCATATTGCATTTGTGATCATCAGAAGCTCAAGGGGAGGACCCAAAAAGTACTCTGAAGTATGCATGTTATTGACCAAATGTTCATTAAAATATTGTATACACTTTTGGCTTCTGATTAAGGAACTAACACTAACTCAGGGGTTCTCACTTGGTGGGTGGTACTTAAAAAGAATACCAGTAACTGGGTTCCAGCTACAGAGCAATTACATCACATTCTAGGGTGCTTGAGTTGGGGAACCAGTATTTTTTTAAATGTTCCCCAGATGATTATAATGTGCAGCTAGAGTTTTGAACCTTT